CCCCAACACCATCATCCCCCGGCCCCGCACCTCCTGGCTGCTGTCCTCCTCCTCGGGCAGCACCTCCACCTCACAAATCAACACCGGCCGCTCCTTCACCACCTGAACAACCGCGAGCGCCCCCATCACATCCGTCAACCATCGGTCGTCAATAATTAGTCATCAGTGCCAGGGAGCAGTGACCAGAACACAGCCATGACGGGACTGCACTGCACCAGCCCGTCCCGCAAAAGCCGCCGGGCAGGCAAGCGGGCACCCCCATCTGTGGGTGAAGAAAGGAGACTGCCATACACGTGGGGTGGTGCGGCCCGCCACCGCCAGGCCCCGCACCTTGGTGACCCTGAAGCGCTCGCTGCCCTTGTTGACTACGAGAATGCGGCCGTCCGCCTCGAAAGAGTGCGCCTGGATCTGCAGCAGCGTGCCCACCCTACCGAGGCCGGGGAGTGGGGCGGGGGAGGAGCTGTGGGTTGCGGGCGGCTGCCGCCACGACGAGCGCTCCTTGGGTCAGCATCAGCACTGCAGATTGGAGCAGGTTGCCACGCAGCAACCAGCGCGGGCACTGCTTTGGGGTAGAGCGACCTGAGGGCGTGCTACCCTCGCACGGTGCGCCTGCACGGCCCCACCCGCCTGATGCGCCCGCGCATCAGCCACCCGGCGGGGCCCCAAGCCGGCCCCCAGCCGCCGCCCGGCTCACGTGGCCATCTTGCCGCTGTTGCCGTCTACGTAGCACATGCCAAACTGCTTCGTGCCGGCGTAGGGCGACTCTTTCTGGACCAGGCCCTCCTCTATATCGGGCATGCCGTCCATCAGGGTATTGAACAGCACGCGGTACCTGCGGCATGGGCGCGTGGCGCCACACGGGCACCACGCACAAGGGGCAGCCGTGATGGGCGGGGACCGAGGCAGGGCACACAGCAAACATGGGGCGTCGGCCTGCTGTGAGAACGCGTTGACGGTCCACAGCAGCAGCCGCTGCTGCTGCTGGTGGTGGTGGTGCTGCTGCTGTGGCGGTTGCGGTGGCTAATGCCGATGCTGTTGCTGCCTCTGCCGCTGGTGCCGGTGCGAGAGCTGCTCCTGATATAGGACCAACCCCCTGCAGCTTGCCTCGTCAGCTCACCTAGGCTCAAAAATCATGAGAGGCACGGTCGCATGCGGCAGCGCCACCACGCCAAGAGGGAAGATTGGGATCTCCCTGCGAGTAGCACCCGCAGCGCGCACCGCCACAAGCCGAGCCCGCCTAGGCCGCGCCGCTATGCCCGCAGTCCGGGTGGCGGGCTGCCGTGCATGCATGCCGGCGGCTTGCATGGTGGGCCGCCGTGTGAAGGAGGTGGCCACCTGCGGGCGAACTTGATGGCGGGCGTGGCGCAGCTGCATGTTAAGGGCGGCGCCAACAGCGGTGCGAGGCGCTCCGCTGTGGTGGTAGTTCCGCTCCGCTGCTTTGAGCGGCTGCAGGCAGTGCCTTCGCGGGGACCTGAGAGGTCTATAACATGCTTCTGAACCCAATGGGCGCTATGGCAGCGGTTCCCTGCCACCTGAGCCCCCGCTGTTCCTCCTCCACTCGTTGCGCACCTGCCTAAAAGCCTGACACTGTCCAGTACACTGCAAAAAGCCTGATGATAGCGTAGGATAGTTCGTGGCGCTGTTGTCTTCGTCCTAAAGATCGCCGGTCGTAACCGTGGTGACTGGGCTGTGTAGCTGCCACAAAATCCATCACAGCCGTGTTCCTCCGGCGTATCTCATGTAAAATTAACTCATACTCGCCTCCGAGCTCTTGGCTGCCATGGGTTGCTCCCCCAGCGATCCTCACACTGCTGCAATCATATTGCATCCCTCCGTCCCCACATGTGTCCATGGCGCTGCACGGCACGACGAACAGCAGGAGGCGGGAGCGGCATGTGGTTGGCCGTCCATGCTTGCATGCTCAGGGGTAGATAAACAACCATGTGGGGCACCTTCTTGCTGTCAACCAGGATCTTGACCAGGATGGTGCCGCATCACGTGCGCACTGCCGAGGCTTGCAATGCTCGCCATGTCGCCAACGTTCCCGGCAACCCCTGAGGAACGCTGGATAGTGAGAATCGAGCCCTGTACTCGCGCAACAATATATCAACTTGACCGGACAGCCCCGCTGCTGTCAGCTGTCAAGCGTAATCACCGCTGTGCAGCACATGACGACACCCGCCCGCAGGGGGGGGGGGCACGCACGCTTTCCTGCGGGACGGGTGGAATGCCAGTCCCGCCGCGTTGTCTGAAGGAACACGCTTGCGATAACTTGGAATGGGCATCGATGGTGCATTTATTGCCATCAAGGCGGGGAGGGGACGCACCATGCAAATCTCCTGTGCGTCCTTGCTTGCAAATAACAATTGCGCGTGCAACGATTATGTGAAAGACCTTGCAGGTTCCGCTAACTAGGCGAAGCATCCTCGCCAGCTGCAAGCAGGAGAGCTTGCAGCAACGAGGGGCTGTAACCTCCGTTGTAGCACGCATGCAGTGATGAGGGTCGATTACCTTGGGGCGCCTGGAGTGGTCACCACCGCACAGCTGCACACAGCAGATGTGGCAAGCAGCAGTGTGCTCAAAGCAAGTGGGGTATCCCAACCTGTATCCGCTCCACCGGTACCCCTCGATACATTGAATCACCTGCGCGGTAAGCAGCGCGTCAGTCGGTGCACGACCAAGTGTCGCAGGTACTAGGCGCAAACTTGCAGTACTAGGCGCGAACTTGCATAGCAGATGTGCAAAGTGCGTGTAGCACTGTGCGAAGCGCGTGTAGCACTATTGCCTGTATGGGGGTCTCAGGGGGGAGCCGTTCCCCCGAAAAGGGGCAAAAACATCGCGGTCTGCCAGCAAACCAAAGGGGCAGTGCGAGGCAAAGGTGCGGTCAGCGTGGCAGGGCGTAGCAGCCCTCAGGCGCGTGACCAGCAATGCATGCGCAACCAACGGGCCGACTTGCCGGCCACCTGATGCTGTGCGTCAGCAGCTCAGCGCAGGGCTGGGGCCGGCGAGGGTGACCGCAGCGATGCAGGCCGGGCACAGAGTTCTCGCCGAATTGCAAGAACCCTACCGAAAATCTCGTGAAGGTACATGGGCTAGAATTGATTTCAAGGGCATTACGTCCATATTTTCACACAACGACATACAACCCACGCACAACGCACACCCGCGCAATCATGCAGCACGCACGGGTCCAAGCTAGAATACGGAGGTTGCGGACAGATAAATGGGTTACGCATCATACGCGGAGGTTGCCGGTGCGCGCAGACGTTGAGGTTGGGCGGCGGCGCCGCTGCCACGCCGCATCATCTCCGACAGGAAGGCGCGTCGCCGCTGCAGCGCGAGAGGCGCATCCAGCAGCTGGCACAAGCTCTCAAGTGCCCATACAGACTGACAGCAGACACCCTGCTGGCGGCAACAGCAGCAGCAGCAGCAGTAGCAGCAGCGGAAGAGGGCACGCGCCCGAGGCGCCAGCTGCGGAGGAGGAGCGTGCCCTGAGGGAGATGCTGCGCGCCAACGCGGACGCGTCCGGGCATCAGATCTTTGCTGCGGAGGAGGACATCATACTGCGGGAGCTGGAGGTGCGCCGACATGCGCCGCTGTCGCCCGTGGCCTGCGCGCACGTCATGCACTCACTGCAGCCGACGACACGCTGACGTGGCACGGCCCGTCACCTGCACGGCCGGTCAGCTCGCCCCGACCGCCTTTCAACTCCCTTCGATCAGCGCTTCCGCTGCAAGAGGTCTGCATGACTATGCTGCTGCTGATCTCCCCTTCCGCCATGCGTCCACCCATCCATGCTGACTGCAGATCACGGACCTGTTCCTCCACAACACCGGCGCGCTCCCCGAGCCGCTCGCCGCCGGCGGCGCCCGCGCGCTCGCCGCGGCCACGCTGCAGCTGACCAACGTCCTCGCGGCCGGGTCCCCCTTCAGGACGCTCCAGATTCTGAAGCGTCACCCGGGCCTGCTGCGGCTGACGCCCAGGGACATTGGGGCGCGCGTCCTGGCTCTGAAGCTGCTGCTGCCCTCCTGCAACGTGGGGGACCTGCTGTACCAGAAGCCGGCCCTGCTGCTCATGGACGACCTCTGCAAACAGGCGAGCGGCGGGCAGGCGCCAAACGCTGGCAGCCGCTCGCGGCCACGCGGCGGGCGCATGGGCAGGGACGCGTGCGGTGGGCTCGGCCGTGCGAGGCAGGGTGTTGTGGCGCTGGCTGCGCGGCGGCGCCGCGAGTCTTCGCTGGCACCCGCGCTGCCCTGAACCGCCGCATGGGCTTGCAGCTGGCTCCTTTGCGGGGGATACCCCCCGCCTCTTCATGCGCTTAGCACAACCGGCAGGCTGCGCCGGCGTGGCGGCGGGCCGCGCCCGGCTCGATGGCCCTGGTGCGGCTGTTGAGTTTGGCTGCGCGCTGGCCAGCAAGCAGCACAAACCGGCCTGCATGCGCAGAATTCAAGCACCATCATCATCACCACCATTGACGGAGCTTTGAATATCTGCTGTACATCGCACCGGTGGGTCCCTGGCCCTCCCCCCCAAGGTGGAAGCTGCCAAGAAGCAGATGCGGGCGCTCATGCCGGGCACCCACTGGGAGGCGAAGCTGGGAGAAGGCGGCACAGCTTTTATGAGCTTCTGCAGCCTGCTTGGGAGCAGCAGCAGCGGCCGCGGCGGCGGCGGCGGAGGAGGCGGTGGCGGTGGTGGCGGTGGTGGCGGGGATGGCGCAAATTGAGGGCGTGCTGTTTCTACAGGATTATGAAGCGGAATTCTTTAGTAATTTTCCAGACCTGGGCATGCATCAAGCAGGTTTGGACTGTGGTGCGCACCAACGGTTGCGGCGGCGGCGGCACCGTGCTTGTCATCTGTTCTGCCGCGAACCATTGATATTTGACTTGCAGGACGCACCTGCTCAATTCCCTGAAATTACAAGCACTCACGCAGCGGGCAGCCACCCCAACACTGTCCAAATGTAACAAATCATACTTGTAGCGGTTGCTGTATTAGTTCCGATGTGCGTGCCCGCGATGGGCCACGGAAACGGTCCAGCAGTCCCCAGGATGTTGACAGGACGGCCCCAAGCAGGCGCCGGCCAACTGGACGCGCCTGGTTTTGAGTGTGTGCAATCACGCGCAATCATTCCAATGTGCCCAGATGCACACACTTAGGCATGGTCCCCTGGGGTCCAGCCTGGGGGCCACACCATGACAGCGCCTCCGCCATGTGGCAGGCAGCGGCACTCGGGCTAGTTGTAGCCCTGGACGTGCCGTTAACCATTTCAAAGTCGCTGATCACTTTTTTTTCTGACATGCTGCCCGCCTCCGCATATTGACACCCGCGTGTCCAACCAGGCGAAGGGCTTGCGGGCTCACCAGGCGTGCGCACAATACTGGCTTCGTGGACAGCACGTCGAAATGCGCCGCCACAGCACCGTGGTCAATGCGGCCTTGCGCTCGGGGCACCTGTTTGGGCCAGCGCCGCTGCCGTTTCCACCGGCGCGCCGCCGCACCGTTCTCTCCTCACCGCCGTTCGCCACGCGCGTGACCGAGCTGGAGACGCGCCTGTACCCACTGGAGGAGCTGCAGCGCCCGCGGCCGCCGCCCGAGCAGGAGGACGAGCGGCCGCACAAGCGCCGCCACTGTGGGCCCGAGCCTGAGGCTGCGGCGTCGGGCGCTGCAGCGATGGCCCTTGGCGCCGTCGTCGGCGCCGCTGCTGCCGTGGCGGCCTCCGAGGTAGCTCTGCCGGAGCCGCTCGCCGCCGCTGCAGCGCCCGTCCCTGCGACTGCAGAGCAGCTGGTGTCTGAGGAGCTCCTAGGTGCAGAGCTGCGGCGCTCGGCCGTGGCAACCATTGAGGCGATGACCGTGGACTCAACAGTGGTTTTGCAACAGCAGCAGCAGCAGCCGCTGCTGCAGGTGGACCCCCAACTCTTAGCTGAGCCGCAGCAGCAGCAGCTCGCGCCCGCCTTCGACCTCCTCGGGCGCCGCGGCGGCCGCGCCTCCGCAGCAGTCATTGAGCGCGAGGAGCAGCAGCAGGAGCAGCAGCAGCAGCAGCAGGAGCAGCAGGACGACGACTGGCTGCAGCGCACGCGCCTGCTGGTCGGGGACACCGGCCTGGCCAAGCTGGCGGCGACCAACGTTTTGCTCGTGGGCCTGGGCGGCGTCGGATCCTATGCGGCTGAGCAGCTCGTCAGGGCGGGCGTCGGATCGATCACCATCGTGGACGGTGGGCGGGGGGCGGCGGCGCCGCCGGTGTGCGGGACTCGCGCCTTGCAGAGGGCGCGCTCTGGCGGCCGGGCTGCAGGGGCGACGCGCCGGCCGCGGGCGTCCGGCGGGAGCGGCAGTTTGCAGGGCAGCCGGCGGCGGTGGTCGACTGGGCTGTATGGCCCTTGTCACCGCCCAAGGGTGGTGTGCCACGACGCGGCCCTCTAGGCCGGGCCCAATATCATTAACTTTCAAACCATTTGCACACTCCGCACCCAAGCACCCGGCCCTCCTACCGCCGGCACATTGTGACCACTCTCAACACCCCGTCCCCGCGGGCCGCGCCCCGACGCCCGCGCCGCAGGGGACTGCGTCGACACCACCAACCGCAACCGCCAGCTGCCCGCGCTGGCATCGACGGTGGGGCGCCCTAAGGCGGAGGTATCTGCTGCGCGGCTGCTGGATATCAACCCGCGCCTGAAACTGACGACTCTGCAGGCGCGTGGGTCAGCCGCGGGCCCTTATGTTGTTGGGTTTAGGGTTGGGGCGGTCTGTTATCGCGCCACAGTCCATGGCGCCACAATCCAGGGCTGCATGCGCCATGCGCTGACTCTGAAACGCGCGGAATCAGGGTCAGGGTTCAGCCTGTTGGGACGTGCGTGTGCCGCGTGCATAGCGGGCTGCCGCAATCACGGGCCCGGCTTGATGCGCTACAATAAAAGGGCGGCGGCTTGATGCGTGTGCGCAGTGGGCCCTCATAATCTGGCTCTGCCGCTGTCATCTTACGTTTGTTGAGGGTGTCCCAGCCCTACCTGTTTAGAGCCAACCCGTGACCCCCATGTGCCCATTCGAATCACTCGGTCACGCACACCTGCTGACGCTCTCAGAGCTGTGCTCGATCATCACACTCATCCGCTCCACAAACTCGCACTTCGCCGCACCCGCTTACTCTTCTGGCCTGGTTGGGCTGTTGCCCCTCAGGGAACCCAGGGTTTTTGCCCCTCACAGCTGGAAACGCATGATGTAATGTACTCAACAAATGGATTGACTCCGTACCACCAACCCTCGCGCCTCCCCAGGAGTTCATCACCCCAGAGACCGCGCGCGCCCTGGTGTCACGCCAGCGCTACGACTTTGTGGTCGACTGCATCGACTCCATCGCGCCGAAGCAGAACCTCCTGCTCGCAGCAGTGGAGGTGCGCGCGCGGCAGCGGCGGGCAGGTTTGCGTTTGCAGTGGCGCAGCAGTGCAGTGCCTTTTCATTAAGCATCATCCAAACAAGCGCGTGGTCCGCAAACAACGCTGTGCTCATCCACCCCACCGGCCCTAAAACGCACAGCCCCGATTGCTTGCGGACAACAACGTGTGGCAGCTTCTGAAACCCTCGCCATCAAGCCCCATCACGTCCCTCCCTCACCAACAACTGCCTCGCACTGCCCCGGCGCTACACCACCCCAACCCCCCCTTATCCAGGCTGGAGTCAAGGTGGTCAGCAGCATGGGGGCTGGCGGCCGCATGGACCCTTCCCGCGTGAAGACCGCCGACCTGCAGGACACTTTTGGGGACCCCTTCGCCGCAAACATTCGCAGGTGCGAGGGTGCCGTTGCATGTGTGCAGGCGATGCGTGAATGTGTACGTGAGTGTGTGCGCGCGTGAACGGTGCGGGGGCTTCCAACACTCACGCGCACACATGCGTGCGTGCGCCCCCCCCCCCACACACACTCGTGCGCACGCACACACACACACACACACACACACACACACACACACACACACACGCACACACTCTCTTCTGCAGGGGCCTCCGCAAGCAGGGTGTGGGGCGCGGCATCGTGGCCGTGTTCAGTGACGAGCCCGTCAAGAAGGCCAGCCTGGGCCTGACGGATCAGCAGTACAAGAGGAGCTACTACGGGTGAGGGGTGGCTGTACTGCTAGCCAGTTTCTTGTCGGCCCCATTCCTTGGTCTGAAGACTGCCACACCGACAAGCGGACCCGGTGGGGCGGACGGGCGGGGCCCACTTCGGGTCCATCGGCCTAAATGGGTCCAACTGGCTATCTTGACGTGCGCGCGCTGCCATACCTGTGACCATGTGCAAGGGCGGCGAG